AAATATATCAATGAAGTAAATAAATAAATGATATAAATGATTAGACCTATAGACCAAAACTTTTTTTGTATTCCTATAAAACTACTTGATGCACCTGTGGGTTCTCTATTGGATAATTCTGCTTGGAGGTTGTGGGCATCTACCATGGTGTACCAGGGAGTGCACTTGTTTTCCCCATGATTGCCACACCATATTGTTTATTTTTAAGGTTATACATTTTCTTTTAGCTAAACAATGACAACATATTCTATAAAGGGTTTACTTAAAACGTGTGTGTACAAACCCTCACAGAAGGGGCCCACCTACCACACCTCAAAATACAGCTGAGATTAAGACTCCTATAAACAACTGTCTTCTGTTCATGGGAATTTCATCCTGTACCCTCCTCCTAAATTATCTGACTCAATCCTATTATATTTAGGGATAAAAAAATAAAAAAAAGAAACATAAATGAAACCAAGAAAACCTTTATATAGTAAACCTTTACCTTATCCAGTCTCTGATTAGCCACTAATCGATGCCATCATGCAGTGCAGGTTTTAAACCCAGTAATGGCCATCATGCAGTAAAATAACCAGCACTTTATATCCATAGAGAACACTGCAGCTGAGCGATCAAGCTAAGCCATGGTGATTCTCTGGATGTAGTGATAGAGATGCCCGGGGTCTAAACATACCCTGGAAGGTCACCCTCCATGACCCAATGGCATTTTGATCATTGCTGGGCTTTGTCAGTTGCCCAGCACTAAACGCAATGTTTTTGGCATACTATATTCAAAGTTAAAGATATAAAGCTGTCATACTTAAAATTACCAGTAAACGGTAACATAAAAATCACTTTATATTAGCAAAGGGAAACCTTTGGGACTATAATTAAATTGATTAAGATGGGTTTAAATTTAGAAACTGGTTTATTATTAGGTGTATATTTAAAATATATTTTGAATTCATTTTAGGATTGGGATTAGTTTTCAGAATAGAGTTAAGATTAGGACTTGGATAAGGGAATCCCTCGACTGACATCAGCAGAATGAATCCAATTGGAATGATATGTGCAACAAATGCTAATGACAGTCATTGATTATGGGGATGTAGTGTATGCACCCGCACCGCAAACCCACCTTAATAAACTTAATACATTATATATTTTGTTCTGCCGCTTTGTACTAGAATGTAATTACTTTAACCACCACTTTCACATGTTAAAACTAAACTAAACATGCTAAACTTGCTGTCGCTGGAATCCCGACGCACTCATCTTTCCAGTCTTGTGCATAAGAGCACTTCTGGGAAGCTCCCACCCTACCTGAGTAGAATGCTCTCCCCGGCTGAGACCATCAATAGGGAGCCTGGAAGTTGTAGGGGTTTGTCTAATCGTTGTATGCCTTTCAAAATGTTTTTAATGGGATAAGAAGAAATGAAGGGGTAGGCACTAAGGATGTGGTGTTGAATACCTGTAAGATATAGTTTTATGGTGTTTAATGATAATCTTAAATTAAGGTGGCAAAAAGAGATGAATGCTATAAGTCTAGTGAATGAGTTTTGCTTATCTGATAGTTTGTCGTGAATTTAGTATATAGGGCTCTATTGTGTGCCTGTGATGTGTTAGTAGAGAGGGCTGCACCGGTTAGATATCTGCTGTGTGATAGCAGTCTCTCTAGTCTAGGATGAGTTTTTGGTATGAGTGGGAGCTGACCAGTCTGGTGTTGGCTGTGGGATGGGCCCTGAAGAAGACCTGTAAACTAAATTGAGACAATACGTCAGCGGCTGTATTGGTGCTTCCTGGCATGTGTATGCAAGTGATGTGGAATTGCAGCATAGCTGCTAACCATGTTAACTGTCAGATCAGTTTCATGATGGTAAGTGAATAAGATCTGCCCTTATTTATGATGTCACATGCTGCTTTATCAGAGAAACATTTTATTGCTTTCCCCTGCCACAGGTGCCCCCATACTCTGGAGGCTGCCACTATCGGATAAATATCAATTAGGGGAGATGTAGTGTGGAATGAGGGTAAACTAAGGGTCTGTACTGGCCAGGAATCTCTAAACCAGTTATTGCCAAAGATGGCTGCAAACCCTGTGTGAGCTGCTGCATCGGTCCATATGACCGGGGAGGAAACTGATAGGGGTGTAAGGAACATTCCAACGTGAGAGGA